CAATGGAATTAATTCCTGGAATATTTGATAACTGCTGCCCTTATAAAAACCATCCAAGTCTTACTTTGGGTACAGTAAAATGTATTTCACTTAGAATGAAAATGAAGGAACGTTAAGCTAAGTCACATTTTTAACATTTTCATTAATCAGTGTAAAATACCTCAAAAACTGTATTCTTTTGGATGAACTCTTTAACTTTCCATTGACTGTGTTCTATAAAAGTAGCAAGCGGAAGAATTCCTTATTTGGAATGGGTTTAAATTTGATTGATTGTTTGATTGATTGACTGACTTAATTGATCTCACAGTGGAGAAATGTACTCATTACATCAGCTAAAATATTCAAAGGAGAAGAGGAAGGTGCATGGGATATATAGAGTACGATATATACAGTGCATTCACATATGACAGCTTTCTTTTTTTTTATAGTAGGATTATAGTACAGGGTTAATGCACAGGGTGTTTTACAGGGTATTGCACAGGGTATAGAACTGGGTGTCAAATATAGAGAAACAGTTTATTGCACAGGGTATCAAATAGTAATTGCACATTATACATTACACAAGATATTGCCAATTTAGTGTCGCATTGCAGAGTTTTGGTAAATTTAGCCTATTTAACACAACAATCATAACAATCATATTGTTTGCTGAATAAGAAAAGATTCAACAATAAAAAATAAATGCTGCATGATTATGTTCATTACATCTAAGAAGCTCTTATATGGTTGAGATGTTTCTTGCTGTTATAACAATATTTTTGCAACTAGCAATTGGAATATTCAGTAAATGCTGTATACATTTTGAAAAATTAAATAAAAATGAAACTATAAAGAAAACAATAGAAAAGACAAAATAGAGCAGAAAGCTTTAAGAAATTACATATTTCTTTTTTGTATATGTGTTGTATTATATATTAAACACAGCCAAAAGTGTAAATAAAAAGGTTGATAGCAAATGTAATATAAGGAGCATTATTCAATTTGATGTGCGGATTGGTTAAAAACAGCAGGTTTAGGGCTTGAACTTCTTAGATATTGTTTGTTAATCTATTCAACTTCTAAATTTATTGATCGTAGTCAGAGGCGTAGCCAGAAAATGTTTATAAGGGTGGCCAGGCAATGACCAATGTAAACTGAGGGGTGGCCGAAAGCAGTTAGGTGCCAGAACCTCAGGGTCAAGCCAAAGATAAGACAAACTATACTTTCCTACAGCTTTTGCTAACAAATAGACGCATATATTTAAATATCAGTGCTTTCTAAATAACAGGTATAATAGATACAATTCTTTCAGATTTGAATTCTGGGGCAAACATCTTTTCCATTGTCATTACTTACCTACTTGTATCAATAGTCATGCTGCATAAAATTGATAATTACAAGTACTAATATCTACATAAATTGATTATTTAATACGTTTTTATTAAAATTGTTATTTATGTATGATTTCACTTGCAGAGACACGTCATTCTCTCTTTACCCGATATAACACAAAATCTAGCACTGAAAAGAGCGTGAATTCTGTACTTATCATGTTAGAGAATTGATGTGTATAATTAACCACAGTGTTTTTGTTGTCAAGTAATAATGAATATATGGAAAAATAGTAATATACGAAAAATTTACATGTTTTGAATATTCCACTTGAGAGTATTACTGCTGCCATCATCTGTATTAGAGGGGGGGAAATGGTAGGGGTGGCTACAGGGGTGGCCAATGATTGGCTAAGGCTGGCCCCCCATCTAGCTCCGCCCCTGATTATAGTAAAACTTAAAAGCAAAATTCTACATTTTCCTCCTGTGGTGATGAGTTTGTAACGCCAGGTCTTGCCACTGTCCTGCAACCTTTAGGATGCATCCATGCTCCAACACATAGTACCTCCTTGGCAGCAAGTCTTGCAAACAGCTGGTTGTTAACTATTTATTAGATTCAGGTGTGTTGGAGCAGGGAGTCATCCAAAGGTTGCAGGATAGGAGATGCAAATCCAAAGAAAGAAGGTTTAAATGAACAAAGTAGTTGTTTCTGCATGTTTATAGCAGAGGCGTAGCCAGAAAATTTTTATAAGGGTGGCCAGGCAATAACCAATGTACACTGAGGGGTGGCCGAAAGCGGAAAGGCACCATAACCTCAGGGTCAATCTGTACTGTTCCAACAGGAAAACTAACAAGCAAAACATCCGTATTTTCTAAATAAAGACAAACTATACTTTTCTACAGGCTTTGCTAACAAATAAACGAATATATTCAAACATCCGTGCTTTCTAGATAAAAGGTATAGTGGATAAAATTTTTTCAGGTTTGAGTTTTGGGGCGAATATCTTTTCCATTGTCATTACTTACCGACTTTTATCATTAATCATTCTGCATAAAACTGATACTTACAAGTACTAATATCTACATAAATTGATTATTTAAGTTTTTATTAAAATAGTTATTTATCTATGATTTCACCGAAGATGACATGCAGAGATGCATCATTTTCTCTTTACCCCATATAACTAATCTAGTTCTAAAAAGAACATTCTGTACTCATTTTTAATGTTAGGACATTGATGTGCATCATTAACCACAGTGTTTTTGCTGTCAAGTACTTGTTAATATATGAAAAATTGAAATGTTTTGAATATTCCACTTGAAAGTATTACTGTTGCCACCCACTGTATAGGAGGGGAAAAAATGGTAGGGGTGGCCACTAGAGGTGGGCTATACCGGGAATTTTTAATCGATACGATACCAAGTACAAGGTCAGTATCGCCGATTTCAATACGATACCGATACTTTTTCACATTTAAGCTTTATGTATTTATTTATTTATTGAGGCAATGAGCAAAGTTTCGTCTCCCCTCTCTGTTTCTGTAGCTTAACGTTTTCTTGCTCGTGTTGGTTTTTCATGTGCTTATATAAACTTGTGTTTCCACTGCATTTAACCGGCTTTTTACAAACCATACAGCTTGCGGATGTTTAATTTACATTATTAAAATATAGTCAAACGCTGCTTCTTTCCCCCTTGATGATTTTTCGCTCCGCTGCGGAGCAGCAGTTTAGTTGTATGTGTTGAGTGGAGAGAGGGGAGGGGGGAGGAGCAAAGCGATGGTCAATCTGCTGCAGTTAGTGCGTGCAGGAGAGAAGAAAAAGTATCAATCTTGTTTATATTGTACGATATCAATACCAAAGTTGGTTTCAATAGTATCAATCCTAGGATGTACATCTTGTGGCCACAGGGGTGGCCAATGATTGGCTAAGAGTGGCCATGGCCACCCCTGGCCCTCCCTCTAGCTCCGCCCCTGGTATAGCTCAGGTGAGACTTATTTATTGTGGTTAGGCATTTGATGTTGTAGTTACTTTATAAACTTGTAGACGCCTGATAATATGGATAAAATATCTAGAAACTGTTTCAAACTTGCATCTTCACTGGTTCCTGTTTGCCCTACAATGTTTAGTTTGAACCAGAGAGGTTTTTGTTAGTAATGTTCCAACCTAAAGTTTAATAAACTAACGATCAAAGTTATTTATTGGGTAAAACTGGCTGGAAAGAGTATAGATACAAGTATCAGCAAAAAGCTGATGTTATTAGTTCATTTGTAAACACAGAGCAGAAGGGAATAGATGTTTACAGTCAGTGATTTATCGGACAAGCTGCACAAACTGCAACTAAAGCCAAACTAAATAAATAAATAAAAATCCACTTCTGTTGACTTTGAAAACTTTTAACACTTTGGATCTTAGAGCAACATCCTCTTATGTCATTAGAGCAACCTGAGTGACGCCAACGGAGCAGCGGATCAGTTCTCCTCCTCCTCCTCCTCCTCCTCCCTCCCGCACAGATGCGTGTCTGCGCCTTGATAACAACCTCGCTTCTTCTTTGATCAGACTTACCAGCTGTTCTTGTTCCTGACCCCGAACCAAGCAGAAGGTACCAGATCCACATGGTGCGCCCACCTTTCCACACCCTTTGTTGGCCTGCTTTTGTTGTCCTGCCCCGCGACGGGGCCACAAACTGGGGACAGAAACAAAAAGGAAAAAAAAAAAAGAAAAACAAACTTCCCCAAAGCCGCAACTCCTCTAAAGTATAACTCCTTTTTTTATAGCTTCCGGCCAAGCGCTTTGATCGCTTGGTTTCGGATCTTGGGGCTGATCGGTACCGAGTTCGGTTTGTGGAAAAAGGGGGAATAGAAAGGAGGAGAAGCCGAAGCTGGAGGGGCTTCAGGCGGCGGGCGGACTGGCTCTGCTGTCGGTCTGTAGAGAGGGAGGCGGAGCCGGAGGCAGAGGGTCAGCGGGATGAGGGCTACAAAATAAATGAATGAAGAAACTAGAAATAAAAGTCACTGTACTGCAGCTTTAACAAGCAAGGAATAAAAAAAACAAAGTTTTCGCGTTAAAATCTGTTTTCCATGTAAAACATGATGACTTTCCCATGCCAAATCAGCCATATGCATTGACTTTAAAGTATGTTTACTTTGCACATCTTAATGAAACTTCAATGTATTTAGAACTTGAGTATTTCAACCCTTAGCAAAAAGTAGTTTATTCAAGTATACTAAAAGTGCACTACGGTAATTTCATACTTAAAATCAGGCAGTGCACTTAGAGTTTACTTATTCTAAACTATATTTCATATACTTAACAATAGTAGTATTGTTTACTTCATTAACTTAAAAATGTCCCAATTTAGTTTAGAAGTATTAATTTAGTAATACTTCAAGTACATTGTTCGCTATACTTTCTAAACTTATACTTAAGTATTCTTAATAGAATTTACTTCAAGTATACTACTCTTTGCTAAGGGAACACCTTCAGTTCTCATCAAAACATTTCTGATACATTTTTGTTGTCCTCTATTCTTACATCAAATCATCATCCACTTGTACATGGTCTGAGTTACACACAAACTCATGCTGTGTTACACTATCCTTGTGGGGGGCTTTCATTGATTTCCGTTCATTTCCCACTCATTTCTATGGCCTAACCGTGATCCTTGCCCTAGCCCCAACCATTACCAACTCATACCTAAACCTGACCTAAACTCAATTCACACCTTAGTTCTAAACCTAACCCCCACCCCAAGAACAGAACTTCTCCTCATGGGGACCAGTCATTGGTCCCCATAAGCAATGGCATAACTATCGGTAAGCAGAGACTGCAGTTGCTTAGGGGGCCCCAACCTCTTAGGGGCTCCGTCACTGACACCTGGTTGGCCCCCTATGCTATTGTGGACTAGGACGTCTCATTTTAGATGTAATGGTGCGAAAAATTCATCTAATACTAAATTTACTGACCAGGCCTTATTTATACCCCAACACATGGCAGATTTCAACATGATGGTGAGCCATTTAAACATGACACCAATAGCAAAGCAGACAGTGGTACTTTTAATTACTATGTTAATAACTGTATATAGTTTATTACACAGTTGGTAAAAAATATGCTCATATAATATGTTTCAAACCACAATAAAGATCTTAAAACAACAATGTATTTGAGTATTTTATTTTTCACAACACAACTTGGAATTATGTGTACCGGTAATCCAGAGCGTAGATTAAAACCATAACCGTTAGGTACAATGTGTTAGCGACGATGGAAAACAAAAAGAGGTACTTAAGTGGATTCCAGAAAAGATGAAGCAAAGAAGAGCTGCTGAAAGAACGGGGGAAAAAAATTCCCAAAATAAACACATTCTTTCAAAGAACCAAAGAGGGAGAGGAGGACGTTGCTGCTACAGTGNTAAATAAAAATGAAACTATAAAGAAAACAATAGAAAAGACAAAATAGAGCAGAAAGCTTTAAGAAATTACATATTTCTTTTTTGTATATGTGTTGTATTATATATTAAACACAGCCAAAAGTGTAAATAAAAAGGTTGATAGCAAATGTAATATAAGGAGCATTATTCAATTTGATGTGCGGATTGGTTAAAAACAGCAGGTTTAGGGCTTGAACTTCTTAGATATTGTTTGTTAATCTATTCAACTTCTAAATTTATTGATCGTAGTCAGAGGCGTAGCCAGAAAATGTTTATAAGGGTGGCCAGGCAATGACCAATGTAAACTGAGGGGTGGCCGAAAGCAGTTAGGTGCCAGAACCTCAGGGTCAAGCCAAAGATAAGACAAACTATACTTTCCTACAGCTTTTGCTAACAAATAGACGCATATATTTAAATATCAGTGCTTTCTAAATAACAGGTATAATAGATACAATTCTTTCAGATTTGAATTCTGGGGCAAACATCTTTTCCATTGTCATTACTTACCTACTTGTATCAATAGTCATGCTGCATAAAATTGATAATTACAAGTACTAATATCTACATAAATTGATTATTTAATACGTTTTTATTAAAATTGTTATTTATGTATGATTTCACTTGCAGAGACACGTCATTCTCTCTTTACCCGATATAACACAAAATCTAGCACTGAAAAGAGCGTGAATTCTGTACTTATCATGTTAGAGAATTGATGTGTATAATTAACCACAGTGTTTTTGTTGTCAAGTAATAATGAATATATGGAAAAATAGTAATATACGAAAAATTTACATGTTTTGAATATTCCACTTGAGAGTATTACTGCTGCCATCATCTGTATTAGAGGGGGGGAAATGGTAGGGGTGGCTACAGGGGTGGCCAATGATTGGCTAAGGCTGGCCCCCCATCTAGCTCCGCCCCTGATTATAGTAAAACTTAAAAGCAAAATTCTACATTTTCCTCCTGTGGTGATGAGTTTGTAACGCCAGGTCTTGCCACTGTCCTGCAACCTTTAGGATGCATCCATGCTCCAACACATAGTACCTCCTTGGCAGCAAGTCTTGCAAACAGCTGGTTGTTAACTATTTATTAGATTCAGGTGTGTTGGAGCAGGGAGTCATCCAAAGGTTGCAGGATAGGAGATGCAGATCCAAAGAAAGAAGGTTTAAATGAACAAAGTAGTTGTTTCTGCATGTTTATAGCAGAGGCGTAGCCAGAAAATTTTTATAAGGGTGGCCAGGCAATAACCAATGTACACTGAGGGGTGGCCGAAAGCGGAAAGGCACCATAACCTCAGGGTCAATCTGTACTGTTCCAACAGGAAAACTAACAAGCAAAACATCCGTATTTTCTAAATAAAGACAAACTATACTTTTCTACAGGCTTTGCTAACAAATAAACGAATATATTCAAACATCCGTGCTTTCTAGATAAAAGGTATAGTGGATAAAATTTTTTCAGGTTTGAGTTTTGGGGCGAATATCTTTTCCATTGTCATTACTTACCGACTTTTATCATTAATCATTCTGCATAAAACTGATACTTACAAGTACTAATATCTACATAAATTGATTATTTAAGTTTTTATTAAAATAGTTATTTATCTATGATTTCACCGAAGATGACATGCAGAGATGCATCATTTTCTCTTTACCCCATATAACTAATCTAGTTCTAAAAAGAACATTCTGTACTCATTTTTAATGTTAGGACATTGATGTGCATCATTAACCACAGTGTTTTTGCTGTCAAGTACTTGTTAATATATGAAAAATTGAAATGTTTTGAATATTCCACTTGAAAGTATTACTGTTGCCACCCACTGTATAGGAGGGGAAAAAATGGTAGGGGTGGCCACTAGAGGTGGGCTATACCGGGAATTTTTAATCGATACGATACCAAGTACAAGGTCAGTATCGCCGATTTCAATACGATACCGATACTTTTTCACATTTAAGCTTTATGTATTTATTTATTTATTGAGGCAATGAGCAAAGTTTCGTCTCCCCTCTCTGTTTCTGTAGCTTAACGTTTTCTTGCTCGTGTTGGTTTTTCATGTGCTTATATAAACTTGTGTTTCCACTGCATTTAACCGGCTTTTTACAAACCATACAGCTTGCGGATGTTTAATTTACATTATTAAAATATAGTCAAACGCTGCTTCTTTCCCCCTTGATGATTTTTCGCTCCGCTGCGGAGCAGCAGTTTAGTTGTATGTGTTGAGTGGAGAGAGGGGAGGGGGGAGGAGCAAAGCGATGGTCAATCTGCTGCAGTTAGTGCGTGCAGGAGAGAAGAAAAAGTATCAATCTTGTTTATATTGTACGATATCAATACCAAAGTTGGTTTCAATAGTATCAATCCTAGGATGTACATCTTGTGGCCACAGGGGTGGCCAATGATTGGCTAAGAGTGGCCATGGCCACCCCTGGCCCTCCCTCTAGCTCCGCCCCTGGTATAGCTCAGGTGAGACTTATTTATTGTGGTTAGGCATTTGATGTTGTAGTTACTTTATAAACTTGTAGACGCCTGATAATATGGATAAAATATCTAGAAACTGTTTCAAACTTGCATCTTCACTGGTTCCTGTTTGCCCTACAATGTTTAGTTTGAACCAGAGAGGTTTTTGTTAGTAATGTTCCAACCTAAAGTTTAATAAACTAACGATCAAAGTTATTTATTGGGTAAAACTGGCTGGAAAGAGTATAGATACAAGTATCAGCAAAAAGCTGATGTTATTAGTTCATTTGTAAACACAGAGCAGAAGGGAATAGATGTTTACAGTCAGTGATTTATCGGACAAGCTGCACAAACTGCAACTAAAGCCAAACTAAATAAATAAATAAAAATCCACTTCTGTTGACTTTGAAAACTTTTAACACTTTGGATCTTAGAGCAACATCCTCTTATGTCATTAGAGCAACCTGAGTGACGCCAACGGAGCAGCGGATCAGTTCTCCTCCTCCTCCTCCTCCTCCTCCCTCCCGCACAGATGCGTGTCTGCGCCTTGATAACAACCTCGCTTCTTCTTTGATCAGACTTACCAGCTGTTCTTGTTCCTGACCCCGAACCAAGCAGAAGGTACCAGATCCACATGGTGCGCCCACCTTTCCACACCCTTTGTTGGCCTGCTTTTGTTGTCCTGCCCCGCGACGGGGCCACAAACTGGGGACAGAAACAAAAAGGAAAAAAAAAAAAGAAAAACAAACTTCCCCAAAGCCGCAACTCCTCTAAAGTATAACTCCTTTTTTTATAGCTTCCGGCCAAGCGCTTTGATCGCTTGGTTTCGGATCTTGGGGCTGATCGGTACCGAGTTCGGTTTGTGGAAAAAGGGGGAATAGAAAGGAGGAGAAGCCGAAGCTGGAGGGGCTTCAGGCGGCGGGCGGACTGGCTCTGCTGTCGGTCTGTAGAGAGGGAGGCGGAGCCGGAGGCAGAGGGTCAGCGGGATGAGGGCTACAAAATAAATGAATGAAGAAAC